GATCGGGCAGCTTCCGGCCCGCCTGCAGCCGCCGCCGCCGCCGCCGCCACCGCCGCTGTCGTCGCAGGCGGCGCCGCTGGGACACGCGCACGCCGCGGACTGCCCTCTGCACGGCTATCCGGCCATCTTCCAGTCGCTCGGCCCGGCCTCTGTCGGACCGGGCAGCAGGGCACTGCTGCTGGCGGCCGCAGGGCCCGGCGGCGTCGACTCGCTGCTCGCTCGGCCGCTGGTGTCGGAGCTCGCTGGTGGCCATTTGGCCAATCCGATCGGTCATACTGGCACTATCGATCCGGCCGGTGTGGCGAATCCGACCAATCCGGACGTCGCGAGACTTGTGACGCCGACTGGCGGTCAGTTCGCCCGCCTCAGCGGCAACACTTTCACGCTGACCGCGGCCCCGGGGCTGCCGAGTGCCGCGGGTCTGCTGGCCAGCCTGAGCAGCCACAGCAGCAGCACCAGCGCCAGCAGCGGTGGCGAGCAGAATCGCAGTCTGTCCGTCGCTAGCCCGACGATGCCGCCCGGCCTCACCTCGGTCCGCCTGGAGCCACCCACCTCCGGCGTATACCAGCCCTGTCCGTTGCACGGCAACCTGATGGCCTCTTTTGCTCCTATCGTCTCGGCCGGGCCCGGAACCAGCAGTCCGCCGGAGCCCGGCCGACCGGCCTGGTCGGCGCGCGGCGTCAAAGTGATCCTGCCACCGCCCAGTCTGACGACTGGGCCCACTCTTCCTGACGAACTGTCCGAACCCGGCCTGTTGCCCCGGCAACCCATCCTCGGGCCCGGCCAACTCAGCGCCACCGTGAGCCGTCGCAGTCGGGCCAACCTGCGTCTCGGCGGCCTCGTCCCCATGCCAACGCTGGTGGGTGGCCTGCGCGCCTCCGCGGTGACAATGTCTCGAGCCGAGGCCCGGCGTCTACAGGTCTCGGCCCTCATGGCAGATCCGCTGCCGTCGTCCACCTCCACGCCTCTTCTTCTCGTCCAATCATCGAGTCCCACGAGCACCGGTGCCAGCACGACTCCGCCACATTCAATTGGTCAGACCAGTCTGGCCTGGCGGAAGGACAGAGGCTCAACGGCGCTCGACCGATCCACGTCAGTTCGTCCCGGCGAGGCTGACGAGGCCGGTGAGGCCGACGAGGCCGCAGACAGCGCCGACGCTGGAGGCATGCAGACAGCAGCCGCCAGACAGACCGGCCAAAGTGAAGCCGATTCGACTAGTCGAAAGGATGCGGCAACGCTGGCGGCCGGTCAACGCACCACGAGCATGCCGAGGCCACGCTCCGGAAAGAAGCCCGAGGACGAGGGCTACAGCACAGCGGTCTGACGACCAATCAGTCTCCATTGTACAGCATCCGTTCTCCCTCACCAGACCTCAGGCCGACGACTTCGCCATCCCAGCTTCTCGACCCCTGTGTCTGTGCACCTTCACCCAATTAGCCTAGCCTACTCTGGATCCTTTTACGAGTTCCACTCAATCAACCTGTGATTCTAGATATCTCCAAACTCACACATTCGTATATCTATATACGCACTCTTTGTCTCTCACGCAAACACACACACACATATATATCTATATATATATATATATACAGTGTGTGTGTGTCTGTGTATGTATATCAACGATGTATGCATATTTCTCCACTCCGTGGTTGCTTCCATCACCAGGTGAGCGCACCGAAGGGTAACCAACATGTACATACATTCGTTTAGACAGACGTCACTATTCTAGTTTTCTAGGGGAACAGTACAAAGTCAACACAGAAATGTGCACAATGTGACGATGGAATAGGCTCTTTTCCGGACTGGCCAGCTCAACTGGCGAGCCGTAGGAAGCCTGTAAACCCTTGGCAGTGTCGTCAGCCTTTCACTTCGAGTCGCGGATAGATGCGTCTCACCGGGCGGGACCTACCACGCCTGCCAATAGGTTGTCAGTCTTTATTTGGACTGTAGACTGCCCTTATTCAGATCTTCCGTTTTATAAATAGGCTTTCAAGATCTGCCTTCCCAACCTCTTGTAGTTCAATGTTTATGATTATTTTCTCCCTCCTTCGCATTACGCTTCTGCATCATTTATGGGGGCCCACTCGAAGCTGCCCCTCTGTACGTAGTGATTCCTACCCAGCTGATTCTTATCTCTAGAGGCAAACACATCATTTCCATTGCCCAATATATGCCGGTTTTCACCGGCATATTTCCGTGTCCCACATTAACTCGCCTAGGTCTTGTTTCTCCCTACTTATCTCGGCAAGCGCCTCTGCTGCGTGATTAGGGAGTGCTCAATTCTCATGTAAATCAATGTAACCACTCTCCTTTCTCGTGGGCTGTTTTAATGCTATAATCTGTGGACGGCCAGAGAACATAGAGTATTTCTTTGGTCCATAGATCAGATCATGAGTTACAGACTTAAACCTGTTTATGCAACTTAAATTACTCGTTTCTACCATTCTCTTTTTTCTCCCTTCACACATGTTCCAATGAGTCTGGAGACTAGATGAAGGACCCACTTTTGGGGTTGATATAACGAAAATCTTCTGGTTGTAAAAAAGTTCAGCTCTGTGATTGCAATAACATTTGTAAATAACCTGAATAAAATGAGCCACTCTTTATGCATTAAATTAGAGAGTTTGTCTTTTCTGTCATAGAACAATACTAGATTGTTGTAGTAGATTTCTAATTCTGTCGGCAAACAGCCCCTTGCTAGAAAATTTGTTTGCTTATTTATGAATCTTACTAAAAATCGACTGATTCCGAGGAATGATGAATGACTTTCTTTAAACTGCAAACCTGAAAAGGCAAACAAAGTATTAGAGGCAGTACTGCTGGTTGATGGAGTCACAATTATTATCATTATCATTTTGTCTTTTTGCTATAAGAGCTAAACTTTTAACCTGGAATTTGTGCTATTCCCCGCACACATGTCACGCACGTTTTGGTCTAAAACTAGAGAACATGAAGAGTGTTTGGAGGTGTCTGTAATCCTCAATTATCGGCATCAGAAGCGTCGAGGGACTGTCATCTGATAAAGGAAGATGATGAATTTGTTGATAGTTCCATTATCAACAGAAATGATTGCCTGGTTGCGATTCCTAGATTCCTCTCAAGGAAAGAAGATGCAGTAAACAGCACGGAGCAGCTCTCTAGGTCTGCAGATCATTACGCTAATTGAATATAGTGCTATTCTTGTCAGATAATTATTCTTTCAATAAGAGGACACAGTAATCATTCAGCAAACTTATTCCACAATTGTGCATTCCCTCTTTCAAAGTGAGTCTTGCAAATGTTCACTGCATTCAGATGTATATAACATGAGCAACTTGGTTTCGCATACACTCTGGGCGACACTTTTGCTCGGGTCATTAACGTTTCATAACCTAGGACTAACGTTAGGCTCTATTGTAGTTTTTCGTA